GCGCGCGGCGCCCGTTCGTCCTGCTCCGCCGCGGTGCGGGCAGCTGGGGAGGCTGCGGGCGGTGGGGGCCGGAGGAGAAGCCGGCTCCACGTGCAGCTGCTGTACGGAACGCCGTGGTGACAATTGTTATTACTATTCTTATTAATAACGGCAATGACCACTCTGATTTATTTACTTTTCTTGATTACACGGTGCTTAACTTGGGTGTCTAGAAACTGGGGGGCATTCTTTAATGCTGCACTTTTGTGCACCTGGTCCCTTTGCTAATGTTGAAGTGACCGGGAAAAGCAAACATTCTGTTCTCTTTCTCTTTTAATGCAACTTGTTTTGTCTTTCCGATCCTTTAAAAGTTTCTGGCTGAATTGTGTAGAAAAGGGATCTGAGCGGGCAGTAAAAGAAACTCGTTTCTTATTGTCATAGTCATTTGTTCTGATTACCGCATTGTGACTTGTGTCCTCTGCCATGATGTTGATCAACCTGTATGTACAGTGATGGACACATCGTATGTGTTTGCAGGTTCGTGCATGTATCTCTGGAGATTTAAGGGAGAAAGAGCTAGACAACTCAGGTAGATGTGGAAACTCAGAAAGTAAACTAGATGGAGCTTCCTTCCAGGTATTTTTTTTTTCCCTTTAAAGTACAGATGCAAGAACTTTTTAACAGATGCTGGAAAGTGAGACTTCTGTATAAATACCTTTCTAGCTTTGGGAATGTTTCAAGATTCACATCCTAACCTTTTTCTCCTTAGTAGCAAACATATTTTAAAACAATCAATGAAAAAAGTGGAAAAGTTAAAAAGTATTTCATCAGACTGGAAACTATTATGCAACTTGTTTTCCTTAAGAGTATTAGCATCTGGTTTCTTTTCCTTGTAAGATTACTGTGTCCCAATTAGACTGCCGTCCCAGACCAGGAATTTATTTCACTTTCGCCTGTGTCTGTGTCAGAGATTGATTAGCTTCTCAGAAAGACAAGAAAACTGATAACAAAAAGTAGATCCCATGGCCAGGCTTAGTGTCAAGTAATACATATTGTGCATATTGTGTAAATGTGAACAAATGAAGTCGGAACCATGAGAACTACTGGAATTCAGTCGTATGTACTTACTGATTCTTGGCCTTTAAAATTTATTCTTAGTTTTGTGTAGTCAAAATCAAGGCAATGCACTTTTCAATAACAAAATTTTTTAAAAATGCTTTGTCACATGGGAATCAGCAGGCGTCAGGCTTCGTTCCTTCAAGATTCTTCTAGCTGTATAAGGCCAGAACCTAGGGCTGTTTAATATGTAACCTCCTCAGGTGTGAACATTTTGTCTTTACCGCTTACTATTTCTACCACTTAGTACCAGACATGTAGGCAAATGATAGTTGTTACGAAAATTAAATCCATGGCTTGATATGTTTTATATGTATATATCAGTTATTCTAACTTTTTTTACATGCTTTATCTATGAAAATGATATACAGATATGTAGGATGGATTTATTATAGAAAGCAAAAATCACATTTGGTGTGGATTATTTTACTATTTTTTAGATTTATTACTATTTTTGAAAATATTACTACCTCCGTTCTCTTTCTTTTTTAAAAAAATAATCATGTTTCTTTGAAATAATGTAGCTCCCTCTTTGATTTTAAGGGTCTACTTTATCTGTTGTATAGGACAGTCCCCACCTAATTATTTGTCCCATCAGCTTTGCAGTTTGGTAGAACCTTGTGAAGAAGCTTGTCAAACTGAACCACAGTGCTTTCCTTCTATTAGCTAATTGTGCTAAGGATGCCAAGGTAATGCTGAACACCAAGGTTGTAGACGCCCTGTGGGTTTTTTTTTTTTTTATGTTGCTAAAATGAGATAAAAGCCTTATGCAAAAGCAACTCAGGGCATTCCTTGGGTAATGCTATTGATTTCCATAATGAGTAGGGGATACTTGCGGAACCTCAGATGTGCTGTTGGTTCTGTTGGAATGATGTAAAAAGTTTTGCTGGACGTCTTCATTATTTTCCACAGGTCTCTCTCTTATTTATTTATTTTCCTTTTAAACAGGACAGAGGTTTACTAAACAGTGTAGACAGAACCTAACATTTTTACCGTGTGGAAATAACTAGAGTAATTTGTGTTTTTATGCTCATATTTTTAAAAATTCTTTTAAAGAATGAATGGTGATTTGTGAGTGCATATTGGTT